ACCCGCAATTGCTGTTTTTTCTTAGTAGAACACTAAGTAACAAGAATTACAACTGAAAGCAAGGCTGTTAATTAATAAATAGTAACGTTTCTTTTAAATATTCAATAAAAATAAAATAATTAAGGAATAATCGAAAAACTTTTACGACATTTAAACATTTTTTATAATAGCATAAAAATAACAATAATTTAAATTATGTTAAATTGAAAATTTACTATTCAATTTCAAATAATAAGAACAATAAGAATAAATAATTCTAATGATATGAATAAAAAGTATAATTAATAAAGCACAAGCTGACTCAAATTAATTAATGAAAAGTTAAGTAACTTAGTTAATTAAGGTTTGATAATTGATTATATATATTTGGTGCTTGTATGTGTGAAATATATATGAATTTGTTTGATAATAAAATAATTAAATATAATGTTTGCCATCTTCGTTCTTGCATCGACTAAGGCTATAATTAACAACTCAAGGTTGTTATGAGAAGCACCTTGCTCAGGTGCATTTAATAATAAGTAATTTCAACTTATTCAATTCATTTTTTTCTATAAATTGTAATTGTAGAAGCTGAAGTTACGGAAACTGAATTTGTTTTATTTGTATGGTGTTTGTTGAATTGAATAGAATAGAATTTCGCAGTGACAATGTGTTAGATGAATGCTATGTTGCAGAAGGACGAAAAATTAATTAAATTTTATGTTATCCAAGCGGACGTAGGAGATAAAATAAAGTGTATATTGGTGTAATAACACAATGAAGACAATTGGCTTTTCTCTCTTAAATATTTGCGATGATGTGTGTAATAAAAATTGATACCTGCAACGGCGTCCATCCGAGTGTGTGTATGTATGTGTCTGTATACGCGAAAGAAGGGAAAAAAGGGCAGAAATAGAATTGTTATCGTGTTGCGTTCAGTTCGGTAGGGTGGGTCGTAAAATAGGGGTGCTTTAGCGCCGTGGAATCTCTCCGAATCAAGTTTTATTGGCCGAAAAGCCAAAGATATGTGTGCGTGTTTTTTTTCCTTCTTTTCTCTCTCCATGTTCATCTTCTTCTTTCCTCGCTGCTCTATGACTGATAGCTTTTATATGTATTGTCCAGTTCTTTGGATTCTCCACCCCAAGGGAATCATCCGCGCGCTCCCCCTCCTCTGTTTTTATCACCTACAGATTCCAAGGAATAAAAATATGACGTCCAATCAAAGGTTTATAGGTGTCTTTCAGATGTCGAGAGTCAGCAAAGGCAAATAAACATTTCTCATACGTACGCGCGCAATGGCATATAATACCGAGATAGGTGGTGTATAATGGTTTTCAATCTTCGGAGGTTGGCGTCCCGCAGAGGGTTAGCATTAGGCCGCAGCCAGCGCGACGGGAGATCGCGATCCATATACTAAGGTTGCAACTAATTATAACACTCATTACCGAAGTTTATTAATCAATGTTCAATGGATCTCTCACTCCGAGTAGAGCGAGAGCGAGACGGAGGACCAATCTTTCCTCTTATTATATATCGATTTTGCGGACATATTTCATTTCTTCCTTATGAATCTTCCTTTCGATGTCTTTCCGTTTTTTTTATTTCTTCTTCTTAGTTTTTGTTCATCTTATTCTTTTCTTGTTCTTTCTCTCGGAGCCTGGAATGTTTGCGTTTCCTCATTTCGGTGGTGGCCAGCTTACGAGGGGTTATTTATGTGAAGACCACCAGCAGGCGGCGCCTCTTTGAGACGCACCGGACCAAATAGGCTGCTTATTACCTTCCTTTGTGAAACTGTCATATCCACTCATCCTCTCCAATGATTAATACCATTCCCAATATCTACAGGTAATTAAATATATATGCGCGCATGAAAAATTGGAACATGTATAATATATATATACACACATGCCTATACGTATTCGACCGACGAGTATCTTGTATGGAAAGAGAAAAACCATGGTATGCGAGAAGTCCTCTTTTTCTCTTCGACAATTATTAAATAACGGCTCGTCCGATACAGTTTCATAAATAACATAAATATGCTAAAGAAAAACATTCATAACGACAACAACACGAACTTGAAAGATTATGAGTGACATTCAATTAACGTAATCATTTTTTTTTATTACGTTCAATTATAATCTCTTAAAATACAATTTTCCCGTTACTACTTACAATCAAGTAAATTACAGTAAACGTTTAAAATATCATTATAATTCAAAATTATTTGCATGCATCTTCCCAATTACAATTATTTCAATATAGTAAAATTACTCTTAAATAATAGTAATTTAAATTACATTTTTACTATATTATGAATTAATATTATAATGTATATAAAGTTTGTTTATTAATTCCTTTTAAAATTTATATAGTTTTTTTAATGATTAAGCTTTTTTTTTAAGGATTGATTGTATAATAGAATAATATTTGTGTCATTTCATTTACAATTTATTTCTTTTATTAATAGCGTTATTTCATTCTCTAATTTACTTATAATTTATTTTTCTTAAAACATTGCTTTTTTCTTTCTATTAATTATTTGATAATTACATTGACAATTTTAGACAAATAAATCGAATTATTCTTTTGCTGTGGAAAATAGTTGTAACATCTTTTTAATCATATTTATCAGAATTAGATATTTATTTTATCAATCATAAAATCTTACTCTTATTACATTACAAGGCAAAAGAAAAATTCATAAAAAATATTTAAATAAACATAAATTCCTTTAAAGTAAATACTAACATTTGTTTCGTTTTTTTTTTGTGTATACTCTGCAGCCTCCATTTCGGATCTTATTTACCCTACTACTATTAACGAGATGCACGATTCCTGAATTCGTGACTGGCTCTTGATTTTCATGAAAGAATTTCAGATTTATCTGCTTTTAAAAATAGACCCTGTAGATTTGTTCTTCGCATGGTTAGGAAGAGAATTTTAGTATCTTTTGAAAGAAAATAGTTTAGATTCTTTTATCAATGATGTTCAATCATGAGTTATGAATGTTAATATAAAAATATGTGGCATATTGCATAATGTAAGGCAGAGAGCGTGTACAAACCATCATAATTTTGACAGTTGAAATGAACAATGAACTAGTCTGACGTAATTATATGCATAGCATGAATTAATTGAACAATGTATAATGCAGAATGTATGTGAATCATATATAATTTCTCGTAGAAACTTTGTATTTAAATTTTCTACAATTCATTTACTTTTAGTTAAAAATTATTAATATGATTCTTTTATTTTAGCAAATTTAACAAAAAAAAAGTATAATTTTGTCAATTGTTATAATAATTATACCACTAGAATAAGAAAAAATAGACATATTATTAAAACTATAAATATGAATATTCATATATTGAGATTTGTATAAACTAACAATTCTTTCAAAAAAGAACTATTTGAATAAAATTAATTATATTCTATTCAATAAATTATGTATTTAAGTCAATCCAATAATAATAAATCCAATGATATTGAACATCGCTGAGTAAATTATTACTCAACTTTAAATCTGCTGCCCACGTCTATAAAGCAATATGTAAGAACTATGATTGACTTTCTCTTGTCGCGACGTGCAAGGGTCACGGTATTAATGAGTAGCTGAAAGATCATCCATCAGAACTATCACAAAAATATGGCATCCTTACAATCCTCTTTGCGAGCCTTGTTAGCGTCCATTAATTTAGCTAAGACATTGCATCCATATATATATTGACATTGAATTCCGATAACATAAATTATAGACTTAAAAGGTGTATAATAATTTAAATTTGTGTTATATATTAGATTCCTTACAAACTTTGTGAGTTCTGTTAAATCCCTTATATTTTTGTATTTTTTTTTTTAATTTTCTGATTCTTGAAATACTAAATAGAAACTTTGATTTGATTTGATTCTTTGATTTAATTTGATATATTTGAAAAAGAAGATTGTAATGCAATAATATATGTTGAGTATAATTGTTTTGCATTGTAATTTTGGGAATAGATGGATGATTCGGAGTAGGTAGTGTGTAAACTGGAGGGTAGTGTGCATAGATATGTAGATAATGTGCAGAGAGTCGCGGAGTGAGAGTGGAGTCTAGAAAGGTATCGATCATATATCGGCAGAGCCTTCCATCTTGAGAATAATAACCGTGGCTGTGGGCTCGCGCTCTGCAGACGGAGAGACAGAGAAAGAGAGGGAATAAGAGAAAGAGTGAGTGAGAGTGAGAGAGAGAGATGAGAACGAGCCCCGTCTGGCCCTAGCATATAGCATGCGATAAAGCCAGCCTTACTACATATGCAACATTATGCATTATAAACCTGGTATTACCTTTCAAACGCGATTGGCTGCCGCGACAATCATTGTACCAAGTCTAAGCCACTCCCTGGGCTCATTTCCACAGTCAGACGTACAAAAATTACAGGTGAAAATAGCCTTCGTCAAATCCCCACGAACCATCTGACCGACTGTGACTAATACATACATATGTAAATGTGTGACCGAGCGGTCATTATGCTGCACACTTAATAATTATTTACACCCTTCTTTCTTCCTCGCCATGCATTTTTATTAGCCTTCATACATATGTGTGATTGCGCGCATACCAAAATTGCACCCATTAAACCGAACCGAATCCAATTTTAAATTTCACCATTTTCTTTTTTCTTCTCATTTCTTCTCCTTTCTTCCAACATCTATACACCACCTTTCATTTTGTTCAACATTTTAAACACCCTATCAATATACATATCTATAATTTTTGATACTCAAAATATTTTACATAATTTTTTACATTTATAAAAAAAAACATATTTTCTATCCTAGAATAAACTTTTCAAATGATCTACAATCCATTAATTCTAAGCTAAAGTAATATTTCTTATATAATTAACAATATATTTGTTTTTCTTAAAATCTCAATTTTCTAATTGAAACAAATGGAATTCAAATAAATAAAAAATGTAATAAAAATAATATATTAATAATATTTGTCGTTGTTTTTTTTTTTGTTACAGTTTTAGTGCAGAAACGTTTGAGACGCGAACGGAGAGCCAGAAGGCAACTTCAAGAGCAGTTCGAGGTGGAGGTGAAGAGACGTCTTCAGATGGAAGAAGCCCTGAGGGCCGCCGGTGCCGGGGAACAAATACGGATCATAAACGGTAAGACCTCTTGCATCGATAATAGCATTAGAAATCGTCGGATCGATTATTCCTCGCGATGAATAAGTGTGAGAACGTGGAAGTATTTCTAAGCTATTGACATGTGATTGAGTGCAATAATGAGGGAGAGACCTCTTGGAAGGCGAGAGATCGCGAACCAGAAGGAACGTATCTAATTTTGCAAAGCCTGTCTGCCTCCGCTCCGTCTACTCCCCCTTTTCTCAAACTATTTCCCCATTAACAAGTCAATTTATTCATGTCCATTCTTGATGCGACCGAAATTCCACTGACGTACGAACGAAAAATGAAGGAAATCCAATCATTTCATTCATTTGAGATTCAAATTACTTTAAATCAAAGAACGATTATTCTTGCTTTTCGCGACGTATTTCTAATTGCAATTTTAAATGCACTATTTGTCACGACATTCTTGTTCATTTGTTTTCTTTAGATTTAATTTAAATTCCATTTATTTTATTCCCATCTAATATTATTATTAACCAACATTCATTAAAAATACGTACATTGCAAAAAGTACAATTATCTTAAAGTTAATTTTATTAAATTTGGTAAAAATCATTTGAAATTAAAATTACTTTGATTAGTTTTATGGCTGTGAATAAAAAATAATATTATTGAGTACACTAACAATAAATTGAAACTAGTGATGTTACTATAATACAAGCGTATTCTACGTTTGATGTTGGCGCTGCGGATAATCACGTATTTAATTAATTACGAGCTTATTATGTTGAGCACGCTTTCATTGAATAAATCGATTAAGAATATTATTGATTTCACGCGAACTAGAACTAATACTATCTTACAAAAACAATTTTTGAGTAAATTGCACTTAAAGATTCAGTACGCATTATAATATTATATAATAACTGATTAACAATGTATTTGTGAAAAGAATCGAATTGACAACGTCAATTATCTAATATTACGTTAGTAATTGTAATGATTTGAAATAAGTCTTAATATCATGTCATTTAAATATAAATATTTTTAACTTTATTGAAATATTTGGACAAATACGAATTAAAACACATTTTTATGACGAATTTAACATTTGAAGCCATAGGTTCAGATGATTAGAGATTAATTTTAGAAATCCAAATGTCTAAAATTTGTTATCTTTAAATAAATAATATAATTTGTTTTAGATTAGTCAAATTAATTAACAAAAATTAAAATCATGGTACAAATAAGTGAAAAATAATTACCAACCAATATCTGAATATTTTATCAATTTGGAAAAATGATAACATTACATTAGTTATTATTCTCTTTTTCGAAAAATTATCCAAGAATTACATCTTAAGAAAAAAATACATTCACAGATTGTGATCGATAGGTATTTGGAAGAAACTCGTAATTAATACAAATGTAACATAAAAGCAATATAATTTAAAAACGATCAAAAGTACTTTAATTTTAATTAAGATTTTTGAAATTTCGTTTTCGATCAGTCTTAATTATTGAATGATTTCGACAAACATTAATCAAAACGATGAGTTTCCGTTTTTATCGCAAACGTTCCCTCTCTGTCTCCTTCATTATCCTTCGCTCCCTTCACTTTCTTTCTCCTTCTCCGAGTAGATTGAAAATCAATTAACGAAAATAAAATTAAGAACGTTATCTTTCCATTCATCCGGGGTTCCATATGCAAATGAGTGGCGAAAATTAAATTTGGTTCGGAGGATGAATTAGTCATTAGTCATAAGGAAGCGGGAATCAATAGTGGCGGGAGGTTTGTTCCCTAAACATTGGGTACAGTTTACTGTTAATGGGGAGTGTTGATGGAAGGCAAGGAGGATATCTTATATATATAATAATAAGTTAAAATCAATCCTTGAAGCGGATGCCCCGCGGCGTTTGTAAATACAAGGGGTGCGGGTGGGGGGTTTTGGTATGAGCAGCCCGACGGGGCTTGGTTTCAATTCCCATTTCGCGTGGGGAATGATTTGATTGAGCAACGTCACTTACAGTCTGCACAATTACTAAAATGACATTTGTCACCTATTTGTTTTTTTATTTATTTACAGAGAACTTCGCTGCCGACAACGAGCAGAAGCTGAACAACCAGAAGAACAACAACAATTCTGTGCCGAATCAGATACAGGACCGCATCGAGCGTCCGCAGGACAACAGAGATTGCAGCTCTCCCACCAACTATCCCCAGAATCTTCATCAATCCCAACAGCAGCAACAGAGGGAACAGCAACAGCAGCAGGTGACGTCGGAAACGAAACCTTGGGGTTACTCTGGCATAGACCTGATAAATTCCGGCGCCGCATTCTGGCAGAATTATTCTGGTGAGTTTTTTAATTGGAACGCAGCTTATATGTGTCGATTCATTCTGGCCCGGTTAAACGGTTATTTATTGACAATAGGCCACAGTTGCTATATAAATGCTGAAAAGGATTCAATTTACCACTCGCACCGATCCCTGACAATCGTTATTATGTTCGGGTTTCCTTGAAATCGAACCTACATTTGAATGGCGTAACTGATTTTAAGAACCGAAATAGATTCCAAAGGACACACAATGAAGACACCATAATTATACAATTTACAACATTCATTCGTTCGTCGCATTTTATTATCATTATAGCTTCTTAAAATATCAATTATATATTTAATCTAAAGCTTGTCAATAACATCTGAATTGGCTCATAAATATTTAAGCAAAATAATTAAAAGGCTTGACTTGACCTAAAATATATTTAATAGTTTTTATTGATTTGATTTCTATTTGTATAAAAAAAGATACATTCGACATGACGTGACAGAAAACTATATACAAATAAAGTTTTATATAAAATGAAGAAACTAAATAAAGAAAACAATTAATTTCAGTTACAAAAAATAATAAATTAAAGAATTTAAAGTCTGAAAATCTTGATTTAAAGATGTCTTTTATGAAATTTGTCTGTTTTCAACTTTGTAAATAGAATAAAGTAAGCGAATAAGTTGAAAATTTCATAATTTTGTACAGTAATTCATACAGTTCCACTATAATGAAATTGAAGTAACAATTTCTTTTTCTTTGATGTTGACAATAATTATTCTCAAAAACTTAACTTGTACATAATATAATCACATTTAATTAATCTTTTATCTTTCGAGATGTTCCCTTGTCTTTTTTGGTATTACAATATCTAACACGACCGCGTTTCATTTTATTAACTATATTATGCTAAAAGCAGTTTACAATTTAAAAACTAAATTAAAATCCAAAAGCATTAATTGCAATCAATATCTAATTAAAAACCATTCAAAATCATTTATTTTTTATTATTTTAAACAATTTATTATTGCTATAACATCTTTTTGAATATTTCGTAAATTTGTTTTTCTAATAAATTATGAAGAACAATAATAAAGTGCTTGTAATAAGAAATAAAGGAGGAAAATTAGGTTGAAAGAAAATAAAGCAAAGGAAAGGACTTAATTAAAAAGAAGCAAGCGTAATGTTTTGTCGTGCAAATGTGTATGTATGATGTGTAGAATATTAATATTCATATATGTTGTTGTGTTATGTAAGCAACGGAACTCTGGGGAAATTATTCTGCAGCGTTAGTAAGTTCTGCGGGCAGCGAGCAGAACAATATCTCAGGAGTGTCGCAGGAATAATTCCTTGTAGTCGGTACACACATACACGGAGACACACACATAAGGGCATTAGAATTCATAGGGTTGCAATATTAAGGGCGATGCAGCGCGCCTCCCCGACGTCCGTGAGGCGCCATCCACCTTGAAATTAATAATTATTGCAATCGAGCGGCAAAACGTTTGCCATTCTTCAAATGGCATCCAACCACTTCGCAGTAATTGCATTCGCGAAATGAACATCAGATACTCTCACTCTTCTCTTCTGCCGTTACATGGGGGAGGGGTAGTGCGGAAGGACGACCACGAGCGACATCATCTCGGAATCATTAACTGTTTTCGCTTTGATCTCTCGCCGTGGCCAACATTTCTAATTTCCTAATTTATTTTCATTATATTTTTACCCTTTTCTATTCAAATTTGTATCCAACTTTGTACAGAACACAAAACATTTCATAATAAAATTTATATTTTAATAAAATTTATTTATGTTTGATGAATACTATAATACAAATAATTAAAAACAAAAAAAATAATATTAATATGTATAATTATTATGTTCAATTAATAAACTCGTTGTCCCTAAGAAACCTTCTTCTGCGTGAACATGAAATTCATCATACACTTATTTTATAGCTTCAAACCATATACATTATATGTTTTTTAATAGTAATTTGGCGTGCTGTTAACTTTCTGCAATACTATTACTCTTCAGTTATTACATACCTCGGTAACATATTCATATTAGACAAGCTTGAGCAGTTACCCTAAGTACATGCCTTTTTCTTACTACTTTTGAAAGTATCTCAGATAGAGGCATTACAAAATCTGGACTGATATTTAATCATATAAGTAAATTAGTTACGACTTCCATTTATTTATGAAGTCATATACTGCAATTTATATATTTCTTGTATTTTGGCTGATTATTTATTATTTTTTATTGGAAGACAATTATATTAATGCAGATTCCAGTTTTTAAAAGTATACTTCCCAAAAATATGTAAAGTTTTGACTTTATTGAAAATTTTATATTGGAAACAAAAAGTGATTGTATAATAATATTTTTTAATGGAATGTGGATTAATTTATTTGTGTTTTGTATGAGGTAGGAAGAATAAATATGAATAAGTTATTTTGCTCCAATTGTTGAAAACAAAGTAAAAAGTGATGTATATAAAAAGTAAGTAAATAGAAGTCATCGTACTGGATATAATAATTCTCATAAAAAGTTCAAAAATTCCAATGATCATAATATAAAAATGTCAGGAAGAAAAAGTAATCGGTGACTACTGAGAATGCTGATCACCCATCCGTTGGTTTCGTATAATTCGATGTAATTAAAATATCGATTCGCCACGTGAATAAATTAGAGCCGCCTCGATGGGAACCAAGAGGTATCGAGGGGTACAAGAAACAAGGGGATTTGTAAGAAGGATGGAAGTACCATACACACACCAGAAATAAAAAAAAATCGGAGGACAAGAAGGACGAAAACGAAATGGAAAGTCGGCGTTGCTGGAGGTTATAAAAAATATAAGATTTTCGTGTGTAAAACAGGGGATATTTAAAGAGCTGAGTAATGGAAATTATATTAAAAAGAAACGGAAAAAATATCTATATTGGTATATGGAGAGAGAAAGAGACAAAAAGATGGGTGCACAGACGAACTTGAGGCCACTGCGCGGGAAGCAAAGAGAGTTTAAATATAAAATACTAATACTGGGGAGGCGATGCGTGAAATTGAATAAGGTTTTAGCAGGGACACGTGTATATTCATAATAAGAGGAGTTTTCTGCTTTTTGTCTTTTCCTTGTTCGCTGTTGTTTGATCCGCTCGACTCGTGTCTTTCTCTCTCTTTCATGCTCTCTCACTCTTCTGGTGGTGATTAGGTTTAAGGTTCGTTTCGCGATTTTTATTTAGTTCAATTTTAACGGGCTCTCGTCACCCCCTACGGTGAATAAAAAGCGAAAGTCCCTAATTCCAAACGCGTTTTTATACATACAAAAAGTGCAATAAAAAATAAGTAATGTACACGTTTACCAATCAATGTATTTTATTATAGAAGTTACATGGAAACATATTATTTGGATATAAAATACCTAATAATTTCTTCTACATTCACAAAAATATTAATTCAATTTATTTTACATATATTTTTTTTTAATTATTCATTGATTTATGTAAAGTTTACAGTTGTTATGCAATGTTATAAGTAAATATTATAATGTAGAAGTTTATGCAACCAATTTTTATATGGTAAAGAAAATGTTGTTATCAATTGTTGAGTGTTTGAGGAAGGCACATCTTGTTTTAATCAAATTTGAAATGCGTAATTAAACATAACTTGTATGCGTAGGATCGAAACTGTACGAAGATTAAATATAAAACTAGATTGGGTCTAAATTTAGCAGGTCCACGTTAGTTTAGGTGTAGTTGAGTAAAGTAAGGGGCGATCTGTTGTAATTATGGTTAATTCTATGAAATCCTCAGTTCGGTAATGGGGAGTGTTAAGCGGGAGCAGGATGGTGAAGGTGGGGTTTGTACGGTGCGAGGTAATGGCCCTCTAAGGAGAAGGGTTAGAGTTTACAGATAGGACGTAAGGAGAAGAAGTCCTGCGGGAAAGCGTGGACAACGGGAAGCCCCCAAAACTGCTAAACACACGCACAACAATATCAACTAATTACCTATTCATTACGGCTTAAAGTGGCAAGTTGGCTCCGTGAATTATTCCTGGGGTCCGGGGGAGTTCCGGAACTGAGGTAAGACGCAGCGTCCGGAAGGAAGACCCTCTAATGGACGCGCCCGACTAACTACATTAGGATTGATCGGTTCCGGAATTGATCATAGTTAACTAAGTTTATTCATCATTTGGGAAACTCATAAGACGGTCATCCCGGATAATAGTTTATACTTGGAAACTTCAGCTCTCGTTCCCTTCATCTCCGTCCGACCAACACTAATTGATCTATTCAATTAAAATGCATTAAGAAAAAGTCAGACCAAGAGAGAGAGAGAGTTAGAGCAAAAGAGTGAGAAATATAAAGTGATGATGAACTTAGGCGCCAGTGCTACTCCAATAATAATGTCCTCTTTTACCCAACAACGACTCTTCTGGATGGCAATAATAATCTTAGCGCGTGTCTAATGATGCCATTATACACATACCCACTCGCATATATATGTATGTGTGTGTATGTATATATATACGATATGCATTTTAGTCGTCTCTCTCGGAGCACCAGAGAGCTGCTTAATTAGTTACGTGGCCGCATTGTCGATCCTGCCTCGTCATACTTGGCCCATTACACAGCGATCATTACAAATACCACACCATACCTAGCATTCAATTAAAATTTCTTAAAATTTCAATTATTGCCACACCGCTTTGTCCAATGATTGCCTACCGTCCTTTGGCCACCACAAAAGCTCATCACCAAGAAACCTAAACGTTCCAATTATTCACAATCCTCACCATATCTCCCAATATATTATTATAAACATAAAAAAATATAAATTGCTTTAAAGGCAATACAAAAAAGAAACACGGAATAATTTCAAATAACAAAATAAGTGTTTATAAACAAATAATTCCTGTATAATAAATTTGTTCAAAAAATTAACAAATAATTAAAAGATAATATTAAAAACACAATTTGCTTTATAGCAACTCAAAAAATAAGTTATTTTGTATAACAAAAATTAAATAATAATTATAAACTTTTATAGAGACAGGTTTCAGTTAAAATTTAAAATACATGCATTAAATGATGTATAGTGATGATAATACTGTATGTTGTAACACTATTTGTATTCTTTAAAATGAACTGTTAAACAAACATTCTGTTAGGATTGGTTCCAATCCATTTGCGTCATTTCTAGGTTCGAGAAAGATCACCGTGCAGACCGCACCACGTTGAAGACATCTCCGCGGCATCTGTACAAAATCGGAACTTACTTTCTGGACATACCTAGTATGTAAGGTGTAGTCTAAGAATATTTGTTGTATATAGTGATGATCATAATTGCGTGACTTTGAACATTTTAAAAATTACTTATTTAATTCATAAAGCAAAACGTTTCATTATTTCAATTTAAACATATAAATTTAGAGCAAATAGACAATTAGTTCTGATATTCTTCATTCATACAAATGCATATACGAAAAAAATAACTATTAAAATATTGCACAAAAATTATCATATGTATTTTTTTTCTTATATTTTAATTAACATAGAAAAACTCTTATATGTAATATATTTATTATAATTACATAGATTCATCAAGTAAATAGAGTTTTCAATTAAATTTCAAACATTCGATTTGTATGTGTAATTGTATTGTGATTGTCAAGAGAAACAAATTAAATATTTGATGTCATGGAATATGTATGTGTATCAGAAATTCTGAGAATCTATTGTTTGAGTATATTGTGTACGAGGAGGTGGAGGAGTACGGAGTAGGAAGAAGGTTCTGTGCTTTGGCGAAATTTTAATTAAAACCCAATGGATTTGCTTGTGTATTCAAATCCCGTGGTGCAAATGGAATTTAGACAGTCGTAGCTTATAGCTGTTAAGTGACACGGCGGCATAACGAGCCGAGAAATTGCAAACAGCAAAGATAACATCGTGTTAAATAGCCGCCGGTTAGAATCCCTGTTTGGGATAATGGCATTCTGCGGAGTAGATTAACTCCCTGCTAAGCGGTTTGTCTGTCTGTACCGTCCATGCACACTCACACACATACACACACACGCATTCAGAGAGAAACGCGTGTACGTATACATGCATACATACACACACCGACGTAAACACATCAAACCACCCCAACCTTTATATCACGTCATATTTCATCCCCCAAGACCGAACTATAGCACTTCCATGTAGAACCCATCAATAGGAAATTAAATTTAAAATTTTGTTACAGAATCGTTGGCACAGGAACTGGAATTGGAGAGGAAATCCCGGCAGCAGCAAGTCGAACGCGACGTCAAATCACCTCTTCAGGACCGCTCAGCTTACTACAAGAATTCAGTTCTGTTCACGAGCAGTGCGACTTAAATAAACGTGAGACCAAGACGTGAATTTTTATTCCCCAAAACATGAGTATCATACGGTAACATCATAAAAACACAAATTGAATAATAACAGTATAAATATATTATGAATGAAATAATACTAATTAACAAAAAAAAAAAACAACAAACTTCATACAGCTCTGTTTCCAAGAAATGGAGCGATTGTATTAGTTATGTAAATTTCTAGTATAAATAGTTAAGTTAAGCTGTTTCCATGGAAACATCAAGTGTTTCTCTCGTATAAATAATAACTTAGTGTTTAATTACTACAGTGCGCTTTTTAAGCTATAATTATTATTACTTTGAATATGAGAACTTGTAATTGTTAATTTTCGTTTTTAATTCTTAATTATCGTTTTATATTTAAAAAGACTGATTTTTATCGACTTTGTATCGTATACCATATATTCATATATACGAACTCTACTGTCCAAATTTGTTTTTAATTCATTCTGTTTCAACTAATCTGATCTCTGTACTTTTTTTTATTTTGGTACTAACAGTAGTTTTGTATATAACTTAGTGAATGCGAGTTAGATCAAGTATACATTTTCAAAGAAAAAAAAAAACAAAGCCCCATATCTTAAACTTAAAAAAATATACATATATAAATATACATAATAATACAAGATGTATTCATTTTTACACTGAAACAAAAAACAAGTATGAATAATGGTTCTTTTTGTAACAGTAGTGCTTAGACATTTCGCGAAGGACGAAAATGGAAAATATAAATGTATACGCCTTTTTGACAATCACTGTCAATATTTTTTCCGTAATGATGTCTCCACTTACTTTCGAAAAGCGTGTGCAATATTAGCATTACATAAACTCAATCTCTTTTCGTTAACATATTTATTTTATTTTTGTCTCTGTATCGTTTATGTTTTAGTTTTGAGTTCGTTTTAATCGACTGTAAAAAAAAATAATAATGAATCTTAGATTAACTCATTTTCAATTCGCTTGTTATGGAATATATAGTCTGTAGCATCAAGTACACTCGAGTTTTAGGGAGGTGAATGTATTTATTGTAAATATTTAATGTATGTGTGTGTGCCTTTTAGCAGAACAAAAAAAAAATATACACGAAATTTTAAAAATCTAAAATGTTTCATTATTACACCCTTCAAGGTCCAATTTCCTCCCCCTTGGAAATTCCTCAACCAGAAATTCCATCGCTGCGAGGATCCCGTTCGTATATATATGTTATTATTTTTTTTGTACCCTCTCATCTGAACTGGACATACGATTCGTTAAATTTTTCAATCACTTTGCGCCTCCGGAGATGTGCAATATTTTTGTTTCCCCTTAATTTTTATGTGCCGATAAGTTCACGGTTCTTTTTTTCCCTCCATCCGGAAAAAGCAAATTAAGATCTATACGAGCATTAAATCGGGCTAATAATCGAAGGCCGGGAGCTGCGGAGGAGGAATCATGAATATGTTTCATTTTTATAGTCCCATTTATACCGGGGAATTAGATTGCAGCCACCAGCATTTAGAGTTACCACAAAGGACGTGCACGACTGTTTCTTTTTTGTCTGGAGGGTCGAAAGAGCAGACACTTCCTCTTTCCAAACAACCCTCCGATATGAATTCTGCCGCTATAATATTTGCATTTTAATAGTTTTCTCTTACTGGAAAACCGTTCCGGACTCACCCTCTCGAACCTCCACCGCGTCTCGTCCCTTTCGTCCTCTCGCTCATTCTCTTATGTTTTACAGACGATAATCGTATTCAAATAAAGTTTTAACAGATGAAAAAGGGAATCGCTACGCCACAATTTGAATATAGAACGTGCACTTTAATCTGTTCCTGATTCCCCTTCACGTACGAACATCAATAACAATCGCCTTCATACATCTGTCAACCTTTCAAAACGAATCCATAAATTCACTTTTGCTAGATCTCCCTCGTACCTAATTACATGCTAAATCCAAACACAATTATCTGTAACTAAATAAAAGTGTCAACTCGCTTTCTTCAATTGCATACATAAACATACACATTTCTACTCACTCGCATAATAAATATTATTTGCTTTTAAATCCATATTTTTATGAAAATTTATATTTTTACATTTTCAGTTGATATATGCAATTGTTATAACTTATTTAGATATCTAATATAATGGTGATAGTTTATGAAATATGAATTACTACAGTAGTTTTGTATTTCCTTATGACCATTCGATGAAAACTGGTGAAATTGTGAAGTATTAAAGAAGAAGACAAAACAATTATAGTTTCCATGAAATATTGTTTATGAATCACTAGGAAAATGGAAAAACGGAAAAGGTAAGTTTTCCATAATTATATGAATAATTAAAAATCATGCAAATAGTAATCTGAATTAATTGCTAAATTTGAGGTTTCTTATCCTATTTCTGTATAGAAAAATATGAATTTTTTTATTGTTTCCAATTTTATCCTTATAAAAAAATGTTAATTAACTAAATAAAAGTACTTATAATTAAAGATTTTTTGCGGTAGATTATATATAAATACTAGAATTTTGAGTCATTTTGTTTAAATGTTAATATTTTGGTCACTTTTCACATTGTAACAACAACTTATTCTATCTAAATTTATTCACATAATGTATTTTTTTGAAATGTAAAGACAAAAAATACTATAAATCTATGAAGTTCTTAAATAATTATTTAAACAACTATTATTATATATATTCATTATTTATTTGCATATGAATGTTCAACGAGTTGTTGGTACTTTTTTTTAAGAAATTATGTCTTGAAAATGAATTATTTAATTTTTGTGCAGTAAATTTCAAAAATCCCACCGTGTTATCTCGAACGTGTAAGTATAAAAATTAGTAAATAAGTTAATACACATTATGCACGATGCACTGTGCTTTATAAAAGTGGAAACATGCGAGTTATAAATAAATTATAAACGAAGCATAGTCTATATATGCAGAGAATGTTAATCACGAGGTGGGATCGCATTGAGTAAATGTGTTGAAAACAAGTTTATTAGCACAGTGCATAATATATAATTTGAATGAAATTAGAAGATTAGGCATTTAATTGGAAGCGTATTTACAATGGATGCGGATCGGAATGGATCAAACAAGATAGGCAGAGATGGATGAATGGATGAGTGTTGTATGTAAGAGAGATAGAGGGTTTGTTGGTATGCTTCATCGCAAGATTGGGCAAATATATTCTTAATCGATTCGAGGAATCACGGAATCACATTGAAGATAATGCGCGCGCGTACTGCACGCAATGTCCTGTGTCCTTAATCTACATACAAATGATTGCTTGGATGTCCGTCCTCTCGCCAAACAGAAAGCTCAATATCATGTGTCCACCGACTGTCCGAATTCCACTTTGATGTGACATATATAAACGAATAATTAGCATATACTGGGGAGTACAAATACAGAGCGGGCAGAGAGAGTGTATAGGAGGGAGAGAGAGAGAGGAGCATCCGGGCGCGATATTGTCTTGCGAAAAGCCCTATAGTTAATTATTAAACTGGTCATCCTCGGTATCGTCCTCGTCCTAGTCCTCGTTCTCAATTCATCCTTCTTCCGCTGTTCCATCCGCCACTGCAACCGCCACCCCATTTATCCTTGGCCCAAGCATTTTTATTTCCCATCCATCCGCATGTCAATATTGGGAAGCAATAATAACGGAATTCCAATCGAATCAAATTTCCAAGAGCGATTTCATATATATACAAGCAAGGGAACGAACGAACTTATCTCTTTGAGTTCCAAAACAATATTATTTGTTATTTGTATTCATATTTTCCTCTCGAGATGGGGGAGCTGGAACGCTACCATTCGGAAAACACAGCAAGTTATTTTTAATTAAAATCAATCGAACTTGCATTTCCTGCTTCCTTTTAACAGAATTTAAACATATACTAAATATTAATTCAAATTTAATTAAGAGTTTTGAATATTGCTGTATAGCTATACTTCATATTACTAACTAGTCTAGATTTTGTTTAAATCATCGAGGAATGAAACAAGTTAATCCTGCAGATATAAGTTAAAACTAACCATTGGTATTTAATGCAATATATATTTTTCTATGGTACACTTATTAATTAGTAATTTAGATTTCTTTGAAAAATAATTGAAAGTTTTAGCAGTGTTTTAAGTACAAAAGTTGTTTTTATTAATTTATATAAGAAATTTTATTCAATTTTGCTAAATTTTAAATAATATTTCTGGGATTAATTGAAGCGAGAAATACAAAAAGATAACTTAGAAATATGAAATATTAGAAACCAAATAGAAAACACTTAGATTAATCTTGATTTATTACAATCCAAGTTACTAAAAAAAATCCTTGTTTAACTTTTTAACAAATGTTTAGACAACTGAATCAGACAACTTCGTCAACTAAATTAAGGATTAAGATTCACCCCTTAACATACTAACCTATAATAATGAAAATTTTCAAATATAATTATAAACATTTTACGGTACACCGGTTAACCGGTGATTTTTAAAACAATATAATTCAATCCCAAATAAGGATTGTTTTAACGTTTTCATGATTAAAAAATACGTTTTTTTTTTAAATAACTTAACTTTTATTAATCTCTTATGGAATGTGCAAGTGTTATGTCACAATTTATTTAAATTAAAATTTACTAATATACGAATTAAGTACAATAAATTATTTATAATTACTATTAAGTACTTAATAATTGGAATGTTCACTATTTTGTTTTTATTCTTATAAAGTATTTTAATATATACTACACGATATACAAGTGAATTACTTGGCAAGTTACGTGTAATATTTGACGTGTAATCTGATGTGATTCGTCGTATCTCACAATGGCAAAATAATATTTAAGTAAAAACGTATCCACAAGAAAAAATTGAATTAGAATGCAACAATATACATTTTATTGTTTAGTTGCTAATAAAAATAGAAAATTATACAATATAATATAATAATTAATGAAAATTTATGGAAAGGGATAATAATTTGAGAAATGATTATAATTAGTTAAAATTCGTGATTTTTTGTTAAAATTTCATGTTTTTATCTGTATTTATTTA